GACAGGCAGTCATAGATATTGCTTGATAACTTGTCTTCAGACCTGTTCCCTGTTAATGAATTGCATGGAAACTTTGAAATCCAATTAATTAATTGCTTTCTAATGCCAGCCCATGTAAAGCTGAAAGATATGTGGCAATCTGTTTCATGTTGGTCACCTTTGGACAGTGTGTGTGCACAAATGTGCCTAGCTTGCGGCTACCTTCTGAAACTCTCTGGCCAGCCTTCCCAAATTCTCCGGCTTGCAGACAGCTTCTGGCTGTCTCAGTCCTTGAAGCAGAGGAGAGAGGTGGGAAAAGGCTGGAGAAATTGTTCTGCTGACCTGCTATTCCCTTCTGGTGTGACTGGCAGTGCATCAGCCAGGTGACCCCATGCAAGTGTCCCTTGTCATATGACAGGTGCATGTCCAGCCCCGAAACAGTAGCCTGCGTTCTCCTCGGGTCATGGACGGAGAGCTGCCTGCGTGCCCTGCCTTGTGAGTGGAAACACACCTACCTCATCGCCAGTTTGTAATTGTTCTCTGTCATTTGAATGGCATGAACTCATCGGGTGATGAAGTAGTGACTAACTTTTTGATCATGTGGTGGACAATGTTTTGGTTACCCACAGAAGGAGGGGAGAAAGGAAGACCCAGGGCGCAGTCAGTGAGTGCCTCTGTAAGAGCCTGTTTGGCCCACCCTGGCACAAAAATGAGGTAGTTCTGTCCCAAGTAAGTTTGTTTATGAAGTGTGACTTATGGTCATGATATTAAACCCTGTAAACAGCAAAAGTGCTATGATTTGTTATGACTGGCACTCCTAGCCCAAAGCAGTGCTGCATTAAAATTTACAACATTCTTGAAAAAGCCTGTCTGCATAGTTTCAGCCTTTGTTAAAGAAAATAGCCCAAAAGACTTAAAACAATGAAAAACTTGCAGCGTTGTCTGTTTATAATCAGGGAAGTAAGGAGAACCACAAAATGTTGTAACAATGAAAAGCAAAATAAATCATAACTTTTTTCCTTGTAAAAGGAATGTAGATGAAAATTAAATTAAAATGACCTTTCAGCTTTTGATTGTTGTCTGAAACAGCAATTAAGCTTTGAACTGTCTGAGCCAGTTGAAGTGGACAGAGATAGACTGTGGTGTGACTTCCCTTTTCTGTCAGTTTGTAACTTGTATTGACAGAGCAATTTACAAGTGGATCGTGTCAATTGGATCTTTCAGTTTGGCAGCTATTGTTCATTTCTGGAGGCAAATAATTTCTCTGCAGTATGGTTCAGACAAAGTTAAAATCATGAGCTTTAAGAAGCAGAGCAACAAGCACAGGTATTTAAGCTATCGGGCAGTCTAACATATCAGCTTAAAAAAAAGTTAAGAGTTATTGAATAGGTTTCCAAAGTTTATTTCTCTTTGAAATGCTAGTGTTTTCACTGGAAACAGCTGAGTCTCTGCAATGTGTGATATTAAATAGCTGCTTAGTTTGTTGGAAACAAACCATTTATGGAAATAGATAATTTTTGTTTATTTTGTGGTAACTGATTAGTAGAAGTGCTTTTAAGTCAGAAATCTGTTCAAAGAGGTTTTCTTTTTGGAATTTGTATTTTGTTACTTTTTAAATTCCTCAGTGGACCAACTGGTACTGAAGCATGAAAGAAACACATCTACACTGAAGTGCTTGTGACTATTAGTTTTCACTTTCCTTTTCTGTATAGCATTAAACTAGCAAAGGAGAGAGCAATTTTTGGATCATCCTGGAGAAGGAAGAGCAAGTAAATGACTAGAATAGCTGTGAGAAATGGGTAAATTTTGCTACTTCTGTCTGAAGTTCACTGTATCAGTCTTGCGTCTGTCATACTGAAGACCTGAGTTCTGTTCTCATTCCACAGTAAATCACTTTGTGGAATGTCATAGGAGTTGTGTGAACATTCCCTTATGTTAAGCCACTGATGAAGCTCTATCTGTCAGGGACTGCTCCTTCCATACTCTTCTGCAGTGTGGAAATATGCGTAATGAAGAGATGATCATAACTTAGATAACTTTCTTGCTTGTTGTCCAGAGGAGCTTAGGATACGTTACGCATCTTGCATGCATCTGGCACATCCTGGATGGATTTACACCACTAAATCAGAAGATGGCTTGAGCAAGATAGAGAGCATTCGGTGTAATTGTGAGCAGACAAGAAAACCTACGATACAATAATGTGTAATTTTCAAGTAAACTGTTTCTGTGGCATCCTGTTGAAGATCATGTGTACATCAGATCTGTCTTCATATTTTGGGGTTGTGATGAATTAAGCTATATGCTTTCCCTGGATATATGGAAGTAATAGTATTCCATGATGAGTGCAGTGCATTCTGGTTTTGGATACCTAAGCTCAGAGAATTTGTTTTACAGTCTTGCAGGAGAGGGAAGCCATCCCAGGGGTGTCTTCTCTGTAACTGCTGCTGCTGTTTAGAAACAACGAACTTGTCAGGATCTTGTGCATGCTTGCTCTTTTTCTGTCTCTCTCCTTCACCCCTCTCCTCCAACTCATTGTCTACTTATAATGAGAATAAATGGAGCATCTACTTCTTCTGTGTCCCTCCATGGCTGAAAATTCTGCATTATTTCTGCTTTTGAAGTCCAAGCTTTTCCAGAAAAGAACAGATTGTCAGCAATGTAATTACTCCTTAAATTTTTGTATCTACAGTCTGTTTTAAGCCAGAAGCGGTAATTCTTGCTTATGATAATCAACTTGGTTTCTCTTCCCCACATATTCCTTCATTGTGTTATCTCAACATTTGTATTTGAAAAAAAAGCTTTGACAGTCAGTCAAAACCTGAGATGGCAGAGTTCTTGGCTGGGTTTTGAGCTTTTCCAAGAAGTAAAGAAGCCCACTGAGTTTAAATGAAGATTTCTGAAGCAAAGTTCTGTGATTAATTAGTGTGCAAAGATTACTGTGCAAGTGTTGCTCCTTATTTACAAACATGACTAATACCTCTAAGCTTTTGCGTATTGCTGCCTAGGTAGAACTTTGAAGCTGCTATCTAATTTTTGAAATAAATATGTAAAAGTATGAAGGAACAAATAGTTAATCAGACTGTCCCTCCCAGAGTGAAAGGTTGGTCTGTACTGGAAAATCCTGTTGGGTTTTATTGAGAGAAAAACTGTTGATGGTTTTGTTTCTTGCCCTCAGTAGTAAAAGTATTGGGGTTTTTGACATAAGTTTTGTGGTTGGTCAGTGTCTTTGGATTGTGTGGATCCTCATTTGGCTACTTGATCGGCAATTCCAATCATTTTATGAAGCTGTATAAATTTTCTATGAGTTAGGTCAAAATATTCCTAGGGTTGCTTGGTGTATGGCATAGAGGCTGTTGGGGGTGTGTCTGGAGGATTCATTAATACACATGTTAAGTGCCTTTCCTTCTGTCCTTTTAAAGAAGGAAAGCCACAGAACTGAGTGTGTGTCCCTGCCCTTCAGGACTGCTTTTGAAAATGTAATGGGAAGGGTCTTATGGGGACGGGGAACAATATCATTCTTCAGAACTCTAAAATGCTTTAAAAAAATGAAGATTTTTGCCACACTTTGTGAAGACAGCAACCTAAACATCTCAATAATAATCTGGTAAATTATTTATAAAGAATGACTTCTTTGTAATAGCTATGCTAGTGTTCTCAAAGAGTAACTTTTGACTTAGTTTGTTTTCTTGCAGTCTGTAATATGAAGTAGGATATGTTTCTGTTGAACTTGTTTTATAAGGAAAAAAGCAGGAAATTAAGGTTTTACAGTTAGGAAATCTGCAGTAAATATTCATTCAATATTGTTTTACAATGTAAACCTTTGCATGCAAACATTTGAGTACTTAATTGGCTGTGTTGTTTTTCTTTATGAAAATGGAACTTCTTATCTAATTTGAAAAGTTACAGGATTAAAATGGTACTGTCCATATCTGTTTGCATCTACACAGATAGAACCAAAGTCGGGGGGGGAGGGGGGAAACTGTGTGTATGTGTGTGTGTACTTACGTATGCTTTCCCTTATTCAATGAACAGTTATTATCCATGCAGTTGAGAAATTTAAGTTAACAAGCAGGATTTTTTGGTCATATTTCTGCTTCTTAGTTTTCAGGATAATTGTAAGTTGATTGGTAATTATAAGAAAATTTTACAATTAGTTTTCACACTTCCCCCAAGTCTTCAATCACTGCATTTTTTTTTTTTATCCTGTGGCATGGATATTTATTATATTACAAAGAACCATGGTAACTTTTATGGAATGCCTTGATTCTACACGACTATATAAACATATCTTCTGCATAAGAATTAAAAATTACAGTGCAGGTTGGAGCCTTGGTTCGTGATTCCACAAATGCAGGTATGCTTAACTTCAAGTGCACACTTCAGCTTGACTCTTCCGAGGTTATCGTGCCTACCTAATTGTTTGCAGGATTAACGCTTTGGGTATGAACTTTTAGTCAAGCAGGGAGTTCAGAGGCAATGTGAGAATGTTTGAAAATACTGTAACCACAAGTGACCTATATGAGTAGCTGGGTAGGCGTTACTGCTGAAATAGTGAATTACTCAACCATTTTTGTAACTTGAACTTCTGAAATAACATGGCACTAATACATGCAAAAAGGCTATTTCCATGTTTTAGCTTTATATCCCTTACTTTAGGTGATGGAAAGTAATTGTTATAGTACTGCAATTTATTAGGACTTACGTGGCATAATTAAGTGAGCAAGAATCAAATGTCACCATAGGATTTGCTGTGCTAAGCATAAATAGATCAGAGAACGAATGTATCCCATTTAGAATCTGAAACTTCTGTTAACTACACTGTGTGTGGGCCTGAAAATAATTTTCTTAGTTTTTTTGCAGTGGTATCAGGACAAACTAATTACAGCAGTATTTATCTTTTTTTGAGGTGTATTTTTTTTTCTTCTTTATTTAGATGTTGATGCATTTATTTCCCAAACCCTAAAAGGAGAAAATCTATCCAAGAAAGCAAAAGAAAAAAGGGAAGTTCTTCTTAAGAAGATAAAAGATGTTAAGGCAAGGTAAGTGAGCTTCACGGCTTTAATGTGTTATAAAGTCACTTACTGATAACTTAAGTTTTTACAATCTTTTAATAACCATTGACAGTATTAACAATTAAAAATCTATCTAGGTCCAGATTTTGTCAAATAATCTGCATGGGTTCAAGTCTATCTTTCTCGAAGTTGCTGCAATTTAGTAAGAAATGTGAACATAACGATTTGTCCCATTTGAATTGTAGTAGTATTCTGAACCCTGATTGCAAGCTGGTTGGGTAAAGCTTGCCTTCACCTCTGCTTTGGTAAGATTCATTAAAATAGAAGGAATATAATGCATTGAGAATATGAATGGGCTTCCTGTTGCCACACTCAGCTGGTGTAAAACAGCGTAATTCAGTGCTGACTTTGCTTTACTGTGTATTCTGTCATTTAGCTCTCTCTGTAGTAGAAAATTGAAACATAACTGGAAACTGTTCATAGGTCGTGAGTTCGTTTCAGCAGTGTTTAAATAGTGAAGTGCTGTGAGAGACCAAGCAGAGGGCTATGTTTTGGTTTGTGTGGGTGTTTTTTGGTTGGGTTTTATTTTTTTGTGTTTTTGTTTTTTTTAATATCAGGTGTGATTTGAGGCTTCGTTCTATTGTGTTTTAGTTACAGACAAACAATTCAGCTCAAGAGATTTGGCTGTACTTATATTTGTGCTACAAAATTTTCTTTGCAAAAATCTCATTTCTTACAACTCTAATCAACTAGGATATAATCTAGTACTTGCTGTTGTTTTCCCATTGTTGTTTCCAAAGTGTTTTTCTACTGATCACTCCCGTGTGGTATCTCCTACCCTTCCCTTTGATGACATGCTTCTGCCTCTATAGCAACTTGTTTACAAATTCAAAGAGCACAATCATGTGGTGAGGGCATCATTCTTTGTATCCCACTAACTGCGGGAGGACATGAGCCGTGTCCCAAAATCTTGTAATTGAAGATTTGTGTGCCTTTGATTTGGGCTGTAAATCCTTAGGGAACTACTTTTCCATTTATCTATTTATTAATGTTTAAGGACATGTTTTCTTTCTCTTTTTTCATGCTTTCCCTTCTGAGTTACGGAGCTCTACAGATGACTTGCAGATACAGCACTACTGACTTTTTTTTTTTTCAGTCTTACGACTCAACTATGTTTTTTTTGGATGATGAAATATCAAAGGAGGGAACCTGCAGTTATGAGCACAGTTGACACTGAATCCTTTGCTATTCACTTACATGACCCCATGTTTTCACGTTTTATTTTAATTTCTAATTCCTTCCTTGTCTCCTGTAATATTCACTGTTAACAGCATTTTGCTTTTCATGCAGCCCACAAAATATGTGCATGTTGTAGTCATCTTTGATTTTCACATCCCATGTGTCGGGCTGTGCCTAACTATTGCTGCTACTTCCTACTCAGGATTTCTTAGATCTGACCTTTTATATCTGTTTGCATTTCTCAGTTTCTTACCCCTAGACCCTTCCTTTCTCTCCTGCTCCTTACTTGTAAGCATCTCCTTACCAACTAACCTGATACATGCACTGCTGCTTATTCTCCGTAAGGATGGTCTTGGGAGCTGCATTTTATTTGCCAGTTATTTCTGAAATCCTCTTCTTTTCACATAAACTCTAGTCCGTGCTTGTTTCTTGAGATACTGTTTTACATAACTCTGTCTTGACTGTTTATACATCAGACTGTATCCTATGATTATTTTTTTCTGAAATATAAAGATTCAGCTCTGATGAAACAGTATTTTTTCCCTCAGGGATGATAGATTTTTTTCTTTAGGCATTAAATAAATTGAGATCTTATTTGAAAATTATTTTCTTTTTTATTTAGACAGGCATTAACTTTTTAATTTCTGGAACTATTAATACTTTTTTCTTTGGATTTCTTAAAGTATTGCAACTAAACCTACTATTTGTGGATCTTTTTTTTTTTCCTGATGACCTACTGTGTTATTTCAAAGTATGCTTAGTGGCTTTTACTTGTGCACAAAACTTTAAAATATATTAACATTTAGAAGGTTTTCTAAAGTTAAAGATGCTTTTGTATGTTTATACCTTAAGATACCTGAGTAGATGTATATTCCTAGAAAAGGCTGCTCTATCTGAGTTAGTTCAAGTCATCTTTGAAGTGACTGGGAATTCTTTCAGCTGCAAAGGCAAATGAAAAACAGTAAATGTTTTAGCCAAAAATAAAGACGTAAAAATTATTAAGGAAAACTTGCAGTGCTAGGTTTGAACTACAAAACTTGTTGAAAACTAGTAATCATTCTGTGCTATGTTCTGGTCCTGTGGATTTGCAATCGTGCGTTGCCTTATGTTGTTTCTTCTTCTCTCTGCAGTTATCCTCAAGAATTCCAGGATAAAGGTAAATCTCTAACTCCCCCTGTCCCCCCGCCCCCGGCCCGGGGTGTATCTCTGCCCCCGGGCAGCCGGAGCGCTCCCCCTGCTGCCCGCTTGCATAGTTCTCCCGCAAAGCTGGGTCCCTTTCCTTCTTCCTTCGTTAGACACCTCTGAGAACGCTTACTGGGGAGATGAGGTTAGAAATATGGTTCAGAATTTGGTATAAATGGAACTTGTTAAGTCTGGCTTAATTAGCAACAGCATAGCGTTGTGAAAGACCGTGTGATTCAGGTGTGGTTTTTTTAAAATTTTTTAATTTTTTTTTCTTCAGAGGAAGTGCATGCAAAGCAGCCTGCTTAGGAGGTGAAATTGTAGTGGGGATAACTTATTTCAGCCTTTTTTCTTAACATTGCAAAAGTATTCAATTCCGTAGTGATGTTTCTTTAACCTTTTAATAGGATGGTCGAGTGGCAATATGATATTGGCTTTCGATCCACACTGAATGAATGTTTTCATAGTGCAGCGGGAGCTGAGACCTTTAGCTGGAGAGGAGATGATTTAGTGTGCGGGTAATGAAAACTGAAGTGTGGGTTATCTATTGTCTTCTAGTAGAGTTAAAGCAAAGCTGCAGAGTTCAGTTTAGAGAAGACTGAGGAGTTTGTTGCTACAGTGTTCTGTTCTGTAACTAAACCTGGAAGGGCTCTTATTTCCATGATGCTAATTCTTGAGGTCATGACCTATAGCCTGTGGATGCTGGTATGAGGGTCACAGTGCGAGGTCAAAAAAGCCTGTGCAAAGCTTCACTTTTTGCAGTGGTTGAAGAACTGTCTGTTTCTGGACAAGGAGGTTGAAATGTGTAGCCTACAGAGTGCCTCCTAATCAAGTGAAAATATATAAGTTGTATTGGACAAGTAATGTTATAACAACACCCAAGTTGATACGTTTCTTATCCCTGTTTAAAGGAAGTTACAGAGCCATAACAGTTCAACTGAAAGTGAAACTTCCCAAAGATTGCCAAGATTTTGTAAACTTGAACTGTGTGTTTATTTAAAAATCGTATTAAAATAATCTGCTATTTTTTTTCTATTGCACCTCAGCACCCTTACTGAATGTAAGTTCTGGGGAATGTAGTTTCCCTCCTCTCCTCGCTGTCCAATAGAACTAAATATGGCAAAGTCAAATGTTATTTTATTAAGAAAATTATTAACATGAAATTAGATGGGTTGGTTGTTTCATTGCAAATGCATCTGACTTTCTGGAGAGCATATTTTTAAAGATTTGGTAACTTTCTGAGGCTATGACTCTCTAATAAACACGAGAGTTGACTACAGAGAGCAGAGTTTGCATTGACTGGTTTGCTTTTTCTGAAGGTCAAGAAAATTCTAGTCTGTTTACTTTCTTCATTGGCAATTTGATTCAGAATTTCTTTTCTGATTCAACAAGTTATTAATAAAGATGAGATGTCATTATCTCCAGCAAAATGGATATTTAATTGATATAGTCTGTAAATGTTACTGTTTAACTTGCTCTGATTTCTGTGAAAATTGTATTCAGTCTTACTCTTTATTAGAGTGCATTTGAATCTTAAGAAGGATATATTGCTTTTTTTTTTTTAATTCTCATCATGTGTGTCTGTTTCAGATCGTAGAACTATGTACAGATGGTGAAGGTTGCGAATGCTGACACTTTACTTTTCCTTCAGTATTTCTCAATAAAATGAGAGGGCTCTAAAGTTATTCCATTGTTTTCTGCAGGGTAAATTTCTCCAAATTCATGTGCGTTTACATGCATGAATATGAAAAAATTATGACAAATGGGAGCCTGCACTTATTTGCAAAATATTTGAGGGTATGTGGTTCCATGCTATGGTTTGTTGGTACATTTTCCAGAGTTCAAGAAGTGTGTGCTAAACTTTATTTGGTTGTGTTGTTCTTACTTTAGGCCTGTACAAATTAGGCGTGACTTGTGTAGGTGTAGAACAAAGGACCCACGTGGAGGTAAGCAGTCAGATTCTTGGCTAGCTAGCTACTAGCGTAACAAAGCAGCGTCAGCAGCTGGGTGAGGTCAACTTTTCTGCCCATCCATACCTCTGTGCATGCCAACCTAGACATTGGAAAAATGGAAAATTTGAGAAAAGAGTAAAAACTGAGGTGTCAGTAATGGTGAGACATTTTCCTGTTCCTCCTCCCTCCAGAGAAAGAAGAAATATCCTGAAATATAAGGTGAAAAAGGAGAATACATTTTCTGAAAAAAGGAGGGGTAGAAGCAGAAATGTGGAAACTGCACTGAAACAAACTAGGAGGCATACAAACTGCTGTATGTGTTTAAACTTCGTATTTGGTGTTCTTTGTTTTGCAGTAGCAGTTACTCCTTTTTTTTAAATGCAAATAAAATAATCTTTGTTGTAGCTGAAAGGAAAGGTGAAGTACTATGTGCCATGTTATCTGGTACGATAATTATCATACATTAATTATCATTCTGTATCAGCTGTTTTCAAGAGTCTTGTGAGTTGTGACCTGTCATCCTTCCAGAGGCATTCAGTAGAATCTTTTGGAGGCTGAAAGAAGTGGACTAACACTTTCAACATTCATATATTTCCTTTATAACATAATGAAACTTGAGTCTGGTCTCTCAAACACCAGCTCCTTCAGCTTGTGAGTTGTTCCAGAGGTATGCTTTGTGGGCATTGGCTTGTCTGTCACTGCACACTTTCATTATTGCATTTTCTTGAAATTCCACTGGCTTTGCATGTAGTGACTAGTCAGTTTGACCAAGGTATTATATGTGAGCCCTTGCTGTATGGGCTTTGGCTGCTAGCATACAGAATCTTACCTTCATAAAGATAAGGCAAGGAGATTTAAAAGAGAAAAAAAAAAAAAAAATTGAAGAGCGTGTGCACAGGTAGGAGCAGGCTCCTTAAAACCAAAATAATCTATGTACATATCTCTAACTTTCAGAAAGTGCATAGGTATTTCTTTGCAACTAGGTTGATGCACTTGAGGACTTCCTTGTGTCCTCTTAAAAAGAAGCCTTTATATGTTGTCTGTCAGGTCCGTAAATATGTTGGCAAAACCATCTTTTGTGTCTACATGCTGAAAAAATGAAGTTTTTTAGGAGAAGTGGGTACATGTGAAAATTACAGACACGAAATTCATTGTACAGGAAAGTATTTAATTCTCATGTGCGATGTGTTATCTAATTTTACACTGAGTGTAATGTTGGTTTACGGACAAAGAAAGCACAGGTTGTCCTTATAACCAAAAATTTGCTGTTATGTTGATATCCAAACCACTAATCTTTCCACAATTGTTATTTTTGTTTATTGAGTTATTAAACATTTATTATATTTATTTTATTCTTAACTCAGTAGAATGTCTTTTTATCTTAAATGCTGCTTTTTTTTTCCTTTTAGTTTGAAATATTTGACTCTTCGTCTGAGTAGTTTAAGCAAAACCAAAAAAGCCATAGTCACACTCAAAGTGACCTGTTCTAGATCTTAGAATTGGGAAGAAACTTGAAAACCAACATAATTTTCGTACAAATTGGATTAATTTTTTTTTAATAAGACTAGTATTGCACTAACGCTGTAAAAGTCTGGGCTTTGTCAAAGATTCTGAGTTAATACAGTTTTTGGCATTTCTCTGTTTTGAATCAATACCACGGCTGCCAAAATGTTTAGTTAAAAGAACCTTATTTTCAATTTATGCTAAAAATAGTGCTAAAGTTGGCAGAAGCACTGTAAGCGCTAGAAACTGTATTTGTGTTTGAAACTCACTTGCCATCTGTTCTTTGCATTTATTTTAGTAAAATATATATTTTTAATCACGCTTCACAAAAGATTTTGGCTCAGTGTTGAAAGTGAGACACCAAAACTACTAGCCAAATCAAGTCATAATATGGGAATTTGCAGAGCAAGTTCCCCGTAAAGCACTCAGTGCAGCTTGTATCTGATCTGCAGCACACGACTTTGGCACTATTTATGCAGAAAATGCTAACTACCACTTTTCTGTCTGATAAAAACTGTTAAAGGTCCACTTTCCTTTTCATTTCACTGTAGTACAATAGAAGATAAACCTGTATCTCTAGAACATCGGTGGTGTTCTCTATGTAATTGTTGGGAGCACTTGTAGGAAACCTTTAAATGACTCTGATGTCTCTCTGGCTCTTGGCAGAGCAGTGAGTGTCTGGAGCCCGAGACATCTGCTTCCTCAAAACAGTCAAGCTGATAGAGTAGCACTGTATGCAGAGGCTTTGTGTATTCTGGATTTTTTTTTTCCTGTTTTGTGTGGAGGTGATACTTCCTTTTTTGTCTCTGTACACTCTGTTTTTCAGGAAATGGCAGCACGTAGGAGTCTTTTTGGACTTGGGAAAGGGAGTCAGTAGCTTATGGCCATCAGAGCAGTATGTGGATGGGAGTTCTATATTGTAAAACACCCAAGCTTTCAGTCAGGAGTGTAAATACATTGTTAGTATTTAACCATAAATGGGAAAGATAGGACTTAATTGTTACGCAGTCCTTTGAGGATCATCATGACGTGTTTCTGGAGAGACCATCAGATGTATTAGAGTGATATTTGGCACACTTCTGTCTTGGAAGTCTGGAGGGTTTCACTGTAGGCAAGTCACTGTGTTGTCCCTTTTGGCTACACGCAGCTGTTATCTGTGAAGTGTCCATGCTAAGTGCAATTTCAAGCAGTACACGATACAGCTACCAGTGCAGTACAAAATGGTCTTATCCTGATGTGTGTCATCACACAAGTGAAAGTTGTGTTGCTTTTCTTGCTTGAAGCATACTTGCTTACAAACCTAATGCTGTTTCAGTATTGTTTTAACAAATAGCTGCTGAAGAATTCCTGCTTGACCTTTACAAAACAAGCCATTAAAAGCCATGATGTTAATACGAGACTCTAGGAGAGTCTTCAGGAGTAAGTGTGTTGGTGCAGATTGTATGGCAAAGCATAGATTGGGAAAGTGGCTGTCGGAAGAATCTGGTCTCGTAAGATGACTGGTGGGTTGGGTCAGTAGCATCTTCTTAAAAAACCAGCTGCAGCTATCAAGGGGCTAAAGTATACCTGTGCCAGCTTGAAAACAACTTTGTCTAGTTATTTTTGTGAAAAACTATAGTGAGAACCTTGAATTGATCTGCTTGATGGCTTCATCCAGCCCTTTGTTTGGTGGGTTCTTACTGCAGCAGAAATTGGACAGGAGGAAGTGATTTCACCTGCTGTGACTTGGGACCTTCCGAAATGGCAAGAAGCAGGGTGTTTTGACCTGCATGTCTTTTTATTTTTGTGAGTTGTTTTATTTCTCTTATACTTGAGCAATTTTAATGCATCACTGTCTAGGCTTTTTTAGAAATAAATTGAAAGTGTTTAGTGATCTGAGCAAGTCTCTTTCAGAGGCATTGGCTGAAACATCTTGCTTTTTTTTTTTTTTTTAGATTTAGTGATGGAAGCAGTATCTGTAATGCTTAGGAGTTCATTACTATAATCACACTATTGCAGAAGAAAATTAATTCTTGGGGGGGCAAGTATGGATTATTTTTTTCTTAAACTGGATTCTTATAATGAACAGGACCATATTTATATTCAGCTTGTACAAACTAAATCTGTTGGAAATCTTCAGAACAGAGGGCAGGGACTGAAGTGCAGACATTGTTACAATGAGAGTTTGTTTTATGTTCCATTCCTAATGTGATACACTTACCCTTTGGTATGCATTATTTCCTAAATCAATAAATAAGCTGTAATGGAAAAGGTAGCATTTAATAAGGAAAGACGTTGTACAGTGGTGGTGTTTTTTTTTTTTATTTTTTTTTTAGATAACATAAAATATTGATTCTGCTATCAAACCTATAAGAGGTTAGCTTAAATTGCAGGAACTGGAGAATAGGGTCAGTTCATATACATATTCTTGTTATTGTTGTAACTGTTAAATAGCTACTGTTAATTAAACTTTTTTTCAACTTCCAGATAAATCATATGGTATTCTGGGGAAACAAGAAACTGTATTAATGAGCATCAACTCCTTAATTATCCTGGTGACTACATAACAGGGACACATTCATGTCATTTCTTTGTGCAATAACTTTTGCAAAGAAGTATTTTTAAACTGATCATTAATTTTATGACCACAGAAATGAGATGCAAAATTTATGCTGTTGCCATTGGCACAGGTTCAAGGCACTGCTGACATTATGTGTGATTGTAATGGAATGGCTGCCAACTAATGAGTGTATAGACATTTTGTTTGAGCATGCTTTGCTTTTAGATGTCTGATTAGGCAGTAATGCTTTCAATTATGCCTGCAAATTGTATTGGATACATTTACCTGATGCCCATTGTTGCTTTGTAGTTCGGTTTCCTATTACATAAATGTAAGTTGAATGTTTTTCTCTTATTTATTGATGCTTTTTCGGGTGTATTTTTAGGTACTTGGCACCTGAAGAGAGGAATAGTGGCTTGTGCTGCTCAACACTGACTCCTCTGACTGTTCAAGGAGTAACACATGTAGCTTCGAATACAGCTCTGTCTAGCCTTCCTCAGTAGGTGGAGTGTGAACTGCAGTGCAACACCTTGATGGAGGAACATGTAGAGTGGAGAAAGGGCAGAGATTATTCTTGAATGGCAATACAGGAGACCCCACAGAATC